TATATATATATATACTAAATATATTAGTAGGGCATATATATATTAGTAGGGCAAAAGGCATATATATTAGTAGCATAGCCCTACTAATATACATATTCCCTTTATATATAAGTATAAAAATATATGGTATATATTATATGATATATATGTATATATATGGTGTATATGTATATACATAGATATATAAAATAAGAAGCTTAAAACAAGGCTACTATTTGAGTACTTTAAAACCTTCACCATCTTAAAACTTTCTAATATCAAGTTTCTTGGAAAAATTAAGTATTTGCTACCCACCCCACCCACTCAAAAAAAAGATACAACCTTCTAGGTATCTGAAAATAAAGGGTATGCTCTTACAACATTAATCCCTAACTTTCTTCTTAAAATTTTTAATTATTTTTTAAAATTTGAGATGGAGTTTCACCATGTTGCCCAGGCTGTTCTCAAACTCCTAGGATCTAGTGATCCACTCACTTTGGCCCTCACATAAGTGCTGGGATTACAGGCATGAGCCACAGTACTCGGCCACATTCCCTAAGTTTCTTCCTATATTTGTATTTATTCTCCAAAGCTCCATCTTTTGTAAAATGCTAATTGTTTAAAAAAATTAAAACCAATGAAACCACTCATTTTACCTTCTAGTATCTGAAAAAACAGTACCACTTGAAACATTGTTTCTACATTTTTTCCATGCGGTACAAGCTCCTCTTCTGGGTGATGTCCCCGCCCTCCCCTCAAAGCTCAGCCCTAGCTTTACCTACTTTGTGCAACCTACACTGATTTCTCCCTTCTTCTAATTATAGTTTGCATTTACTGTGTTTGCTGTACAAGTAGTACTTTATTGTATACTGGCACATACAAAATTCTCAGTATTTGTTGAATTATTTCTGTCTGTAGCAACCAATTTAATACTTACAGAAACAAGCAATTTCAGTATATTTTGTATTGTATCAGCACACAATGTAGGTTATCAGTATACAGTTGGCAGGATGAGATCTTGCTCACTGCTAACACTAAATGCATATGATTTATCTTCTCAAAGAAGACTAAGACCATTTTTAAAAATTTATTTTGCATCTTAGAATCATTAGCATACATATCAGGTATACTTAAGAAATACCTGCAGATGAGCTGACCTGCCGTTAGATAAATATCACATTTTTTAAAGTTTATTGTTTTGATCAGTTTAAATTAAAATGTTTCAAGAAAACCTAACCAGTGTGAAGACACATTTGGACATATTTAGTCATTACTTTTTTTTTTTTTTATGTTTTCAAAACAGAGAACAGATACAATGACTGTTAGTTAGCTGGTAACAACTGAGCACTTTACTAACAGGAACCCTGTCAAGGAAAATGAGTTCTCTAAAGCAGTAATGCTTTTTAATAAATGTATTAAAACATCATAATTAAGTTGTATGCTAGTCTTATGATTTTGCCCAAAGTGACCATTCTTTTTGCCCTAAGCAAGAAGTATAGTCACATTACAGGTTGAATTAACTTAAATTTGCCACTGGATCTAGTTGTGTGCTGAGTATACAAGGTAATAATTAACATTCAGCAAGCCATTCCCACTGTACCACTTGAGAACTAAAGTTTAAAATATGTGAATATGTATATTTTACAAATGAACTAAATACTGCAGCAGATCTTATAAACTATTTCACTGATTAGAGCAGAACTCACTGGTGACTTCTATGAGCTTACTCTCTATTTAAATTATGAATGCAATTACCATTGATTTTCACCTGTATTAAGTTGTATGCTAGTTTTATGATTTTGCCCAAAGTGACCATTCTTTTTGCCCTAAGCAAGAAGTATAGTCACATTATAGGTTGAATTAACTTAAATTTGCCACTGGATCTTAGAATTTTAAAACGTTTACAGTATTGTACAATATGTACAGGGTTACAGATTCTTTATCACATAGTGTACTTCATTATTTATGTTTGTTTCAGTGTTTGCTCCCAGCAATGTCCCAAAAGCCAACAGAAATGAGTCTGTCTAAATTATTTTTAAAATTAATGGAACAACAGATTTTTAAAAATCAATTAATATGTAATATATAATATCTACAGAAAACTATAGAGAACTGAGAGAAAATGTATAGCTCTTTCCCCTGACTTATGCTGAAGAGAGTGACACCTATTCACAGTAACTTAAGGAATAGCCTTGCAATGACCTTTGGTATTCATTTTCCATTCCTCACTCTGATTATATCATTCATAACAGTCTAATATTAAAGAATTAAAGAGAGATGAAAAAGCCTGAGCTCTGAAATTTTACAGACCTGGATTAGTATCTCTGTTTTGCTGCTAACTGACAGTCTGACTTTGGCAAAGCAATCTCCTTGGCCCTAATTTTTTTTAACCACTAATAATATGTAATGGTAATAGTGCCTATCTTTAGCATTATAACAAAGAATAAATGAGATAGGTTGAAATGGTTATTCACAATACCCGGCTCACAGCAATTATTGAATAACAATGTAATCATGTCACCATAAAAGAAAATCAAACTAATTGTGAATGAATTGAGATTACCAAGAAAGAATCCAGGCTTATCTAATCTCTCAAAGACAGAAATATTGGAATTTATAAAAATGAAAATATACAAAAATACAAGAGGTTGTAAAAACAATGAACAGAGACCCAACTTAAATCCTTTATATATAAAGTGTCATTTTAACTCTTGATCTAATGATTGTCTTACTAAATATTTTGAAAGCTTTGATAAATCATGTGCAGGAAAGGGAGAGGGAGACTCTTATGCTATTCTTTGTTACTTTAGTTTATATTCCTAAGTATGATTTAACTAAAACACTCTAAAGATTTACTAGCATTTAATCTGATTCATAGTGACGAGAGGACTTGACACTGAAAGAACCATAAATTACAATCAAAATCTGACTCCTTAAAGATGAAGCTGCATCACTGACAAAGAACTGGATCCTTATTTCAGGAGATATATAGTATGAATCTAGATATTAGGTACAACAAGTGATGCACATCAGCAATGATAGGTATTTACATTAAATTTTTTCAAAAAGACTTCTTCCTAACATACAAAAGTAGACACTGATATATGATTTCACAAATTTTAGATATATATTTTTTTAAACTAAATTTAACATTGTTAACAGCTATGTGATACGTGCATATTTTTAACTGAAATTCATCATTTTCATATAAATTACAATTAACTAGAAATAATGAAAATTCCAATATTATACAAGACTTAAACTAGGTTTAGAAACTAAAATGCCATTTTAAATATTACAAAAGTATAACCAAGAATAAAATAAATACTCATTTATTTACATTCTATTTTGAGAATACCTTCTTTTATTATGTTTAAGTTTATACTTTCCTTTTTGAAAGTAGCCACCATCACGAGTGAAGATATCATAAAATGTAAGTGGAACTAATACTACAAAACAGAATTTTAATTATATTTTAAATTAAGCTTCAATTATTACTTATAAATATTGTGGTAGGGGACTTTATTAGGTAATTGTTATATTTGTAAAACAGTAATTACTACTTAAATGAATTATTTACAAGTTACTAAAAAGGTACCTTCAAATAGAGAATTAAACTTAAGAGATATTATACTATAATTCATAAAGCTAATAACAATCAAGAATTTTCAACCTCTTTTATCCATATGTTGAGTAACAAAACAGTTAAAAAAAATTGAAATATAGGCATATAGCAAGAATCAGAAGCTATCCATTCTGAGTGGTCTAGTATATCAGTTTCTATTATTGTTTTTGTGGATAGTTTTTGCCTCTGAAAAGCTAAATCACACCTAATAGGATCATGATTCAGAGAAGACCTCAATTTTTATACATCATAATGATATGATATCAGAAAACATTCAACTTCAAATTTATGACAGATAAAAACTCCATATTTTAACAGCCATGCTTAGTTTGTTTGAGCTGGTGAGCAGACATAAATGTAATCTGCACTACTATCAAACTCCAGGTCTGATAGATAACAAGCTAATATTTATTTCTAAGTGCTCTAAAAATTATTTGTAAAACCTGCATAAAAAGGATCGCATAAATATATTGTGATTTTACTTTAACAATTATTCTACACTACAATGGAAGTACATGCTCAAACAAGACACCTCAGCAGTATTTTAAAGCAGTAACCACCTAGCCAATTTCTGTATGTTCTGTAGTTTTTCTAATCCACTCTCCCTGTGGTTGAGCAAAATCGAATTGCCTCTCACATTTGCAGACAGCTCTGTGAAGGTGATAATAGAGCTGCTCCCTGCTGTCATGAGGCAGGAAATAGGAAAATGGCATATGGGGCTAGAAAGAAAGAAATAAAAAAAAAAGAAAGAAAGAATGAACAAAAAAAGGGAAAGAGAACTAAACAAGAACAAAAGGGGTTTCAACAAAGAACAACTATAACTCAATATGCTTTGCAAGTTAATCTTTTTTCAGAATCATTTGGCATATTTAATCATTCATTTGCATCCTCACTCCAAAAACATGAATGGTTGATATCAAGTCTTTGGACAAGTTTTCATTGTCTAAAATATTTGGAAAACACACCTCCAGAATATGTCCTGCACAATGTCTGCAAAACAATGTCCTTTAAATAGATTTTTTTAAATGCTGTGCTAATTCCAAATTTATCATTTGAAAATGTAGATAAAGCAATATTTATTGAAATATTAATAAAATGTTTATAGCAGGCTTTGCGTATGGTTTAACTTTCCTAATTTTATAAAATTGAAAAAAAATTTAAAGATAAATATTCACGATAATTAGACAAAAGTAATTAAAGAAGAAATAAATTACCAAATAAATTGCTAATAATACCAAAACACAGTTATCAACTTGTATAGTTTTTTTGTTTGTTTTTCAAGACAGTAGCTTTCTGTGTATCTAAGAATCCTGTTTTGAACAAAATGGATTTTTATTTTTTGTATCTGTAAACAGAATGTGGCAGGAGATGGCAATAAAGATAGAATCTACTCTACCTTTCCTTTTACACTCTGAATGGGATCCACAACCACTGCCACAGCTCTCTCCGACAAAGCTTCAAAGCTCTGCTGAGTGTTGATATCCACACCAGAAAGCCAACAACCAAAGCCAGGGTGACTGTGATACCAACCAACAACCATCTCCGGCCTGAAACAAAGAGGGCATTCAGACGCTCAGAACAGAACAAGTAATACATTTATGATATGAAAAGAAACAACACACTAACAGGGTATAAATTAAGAAGAGATGAAAAACACACAGGTGTGAAAAAGCACCATTAGAAACCCTGAAATTGTACACCATATTATCCAGAAAACATGGAAATGAATATGTGTGACAAAGGAAGTGCTATCATTAAGAGATGCACATTAGCAGTGGTAGATAAGGCTTTCAGTTTTTCACCTTGTTACCACAGTTTCTCAGAGCCAGTTTTTACCCTTTCAGCAAATAAATATCTACTCTTTAACTCCTTAGCTCTGGGAGTTGGATTTTCCAGGCACAGAGTACATTTTTAACAATGGACACCAGGATCCACTGTTGTGAAAGGATTAAATATCAATTAAACCAGCAGTAGAACTAGGAACTCAGTCAAAAACCAATTTGCACTGTTCTGCTCAGCTGCTGAGCCTTTTGCTAACATTAATTTAGAAGTTTTTTCCACAGTAGAAGAATTTGAGCAAGAGAATGACAACTATTGAGAGATTTGGTCTGAGGAAAAAAACTTTAGAATATTTGGATTATACTTTCTCTGTCTTTAAAACTATGCCTACAAACATAATTAAATATTCATAATCTCATTCAGTTGCAACTCTCAAATACATGGAACATACAAGCTCTTTCAATTATAAGTGACTAGACAGTAACTCCATATGCTAAACAGAGGGAAGCTACAGCCCAAGCTTACTATGTGACAGTCAAGAATTTTAATATGAGGCAGTTCTCTGATGGGCAAATGTCTTTAGTTCTAAAGGGAAGAGATACTAGACAGGCGGTGCATGGCACTGATATTTATAGATATTTTTATGTCAACTACATGATCTCTTTTTATAGAAATGGTATTGATAGCCATCTATAATTCTGAGGTATGTTTCTACAAATATTTCCCATTATTTCTTTAACTGACCATTTACAATGCTTACCTTCCTGTTTGCTTCAACATATCCAACATTTTGGCTTGGAACACTGGATCAACTGCCTCTACACTGACACCCTGGTTTAGAAAGAATAGAAAAATTATTAGCTTTTATAACTTTGTGTGTGTGGGGGGAGCTTCTCTATGTATAGTATTTTGGGTTATCAAAATCATTTTGTAGGTTTTGATACCTACATTTGATACCTACTCAAGTCATTCAATTATAAACCTTACATCAATCAACCTTCTAAAACTGCCAACTACCAAACTGCTGTTGGCTAACGACTTAAGCTAACTTTCAGGGTTCTTTAAGAGTTTATGGCCATTGCTATGTACATATTTACCAGAAGTACAAAATAACTGAACCAACCATAACTACTGGTTAGACCTCTCTAGGTAAGCATACTTCCTGATGCCATCCTATCATAACTAATGACTAAAATGAGTCTCATCCAAAGTTCTACAAATATTCAGCTATCATAATTAAAGAGCCTCAAGTCTCTTACATACTGCATTTTTTGCTAGTTCAACCAAAATAAGATATTTAAACATGGAAGAATTAAAAGTTTCAGAACATCTCCCTGGTGATAGATTACTGTCATTATAGCTCCCAAGGCTTTCTTTTAACCTCAGGAATCTAAATCTAATGTACTTAAAGACACTAGTTAACATAAGCACTTCCTTCCCACCAAAACAAACAGTATGCATAATGAATTCCAATAGAGAGTACATCCTCAAGAACAGGGGTATGCAATCTGCTGCTTATAGGCTAAGAATGTTTTTGGTTTTTTTCTTTCATATATATATATAAAGAAATGATGGTCTTAAAAAAGAAGAAGAATATGCAACAGAGACATATGTTTTTATAGAAAAAGTTTACTGACTCTGGAGCCAGAAGAAAAACTTTCTAATTCTATGACACTAGAAAATAGAATTAGAGAGAATATGGGGATCAAAGTCTTCTATTTTATATTGTCAAACAAGTATTTACACGGAAGTAAGGATAGTAAAGCCTAAGAACTATGTATTATAATGAATATCTACATAAGCACCCATAACATATATGTTGGTTTTATGTGTTTCATATAGCCTAACATAAAAAGACAGAATAATAGTCTAAGATTTAAATCTAAACCTTTGGTTAACATGTAGACTTTTTCTATTTCCAAATGAATAAAATAAATATAATGGATATTGAGATAGATAAAATCAGTAGATCCAAATTTTACCTTAACAAATTCAACTATTTGGAGAAAACTTTACATTATTTATAAATATATTGCATTCTGTAGCAAATATTACATTTTAAATGCTTATTTTTAATATACATACTTATTACACTATTTAAAACTGTAATTTATTCTCTAGCATCTACCTTATCAAAGTAAACTTATAGAGCTTCAAAGAGAACAAACAGCTTTTAACAACTTCTTTAATTGTTCTTTTACAAGGCTCAGTAAGAGAAATATTGCCAAATTTATCAAAGAATAAATATCCCTTAGAAAAATACATGCATATTTTTCTAAGCAAACAGGTGAGAAGGATGTATGTGTTATTTTTTTGGAAGGCAGATAGAATAGTTATTGTTTTTTGGCCATTTTATTTCAGTCAGAATGCACATTTATCAACACAAGTCTAATGCATTAAACAAAAAGGCAAAACAAAACAAAAATCTCTAGAAAGAATAATGTATTCTACACAGGTCATTTGGGGTATGGAGTGTGGTGCATATAAAAAAAATACCATGCCAGGGCAAAAACTCATGTTTGCTATTGTTTTTTTAACTTAAAATTTTAAATAAGAAAAGCTGAAAAGTCATTCATCCCCATATATAGAACATTTTTTAAATGTCATATTTCAAAACAATGGAAAAAGTGGTAAGAACTAGTGTTATATGAATGAAAATCTAAATAAGAGAATCTCAAACCTTTTGAATCAAATGTTCAAATTAATCAAACTAACACTCTGCTATTATAGGGTAACTAACTTTTAAGTCCAGTATTTTATGCCTTAAACTGCTGAAGGAATGAGAAAATAAATTTAGCATTAAGTATCATTCAGTTTGCAGACCAGAAGTTATGCTTCATTCTAAAGAATAATGATTTAATTCAACACAATCAAAAAATTTCTATCAATCTTATAATTAATTTTTCCTATTAGAAAGAGAAAATATAATACGATGAGAGTTAGTCTGCATAGGAAAAGAAAAATGAAAAGAAACACATTTAGTTACAGCAGGCAACCATAAAAGTACTCACTGTTCCTGACTGTGGCATAGCAAACACATCAATCACTCTGACGGTATAATCATCAACAAATTCTCCAAGCATCAAACCCATAACTTCCATTGGAACTCCAGCACGACCATGTTTTAACATCTGTAGAGAGGAAGAGATGTGGACACAAAGCAAATTTCTTTGAGGTCTCTGGTTCCTCTTTATAAAACAAAAATCAAATTTTGTTCCAGTGAAAATTAAAAACTTCTTTTATAAATGTACCTAAACCAAGAGGATTAAGGTGGACAACTATTCCAAAGTAAAAGATACAATGAAAGCAACAGAGTTCTCTAAAGCAAGTAAGTACATTGATTACTTACTTTTAACAGTGCCAGGGAAGAGATATAGACTTGTTCTGCTGTGTCCACTGCAGGAGCATCTGTAGGTGGCCCCTAGAAACAAATACATCAATTATTATAAACACACACAGAGAGTTTATGAGTTTAAAATTCAACCTACATGTGGTATAAACTTGATTGTTTTAAAAGAGTTCTGAAGAACATGTCAAGTATCATTTTATTTGGCCACAACATAATCAAAACACATTTGCAAATACCAAACCTGTAGAAAACAGATAAAACTTAATAATCTCTGCCAAGGGCATAACGGACATAAAGTTTAAGTCTTTCAGCAATGCCAATCTGCCTTGGCTGTAATGTACCAATTAGTCACATTTGTTACCACCAGTGTGTGTATGTGAAATGCAGTTGGACTAGCACAATTAAGTAAAGTATCAACACAAATAGCAAATTCTCTGAGCTTCTTGATTTTCAAGTAAAGATAGCATGTATTAACAGATTAAGGCTATGGAATTCCTCTGTAGATTCATTGCTACAGTGGAAGAGAAGGGGAAAGAAGACTTCTAATCCCTGGGTGAAAGAGCTGTGAACAACATCCTCTGCCCGTCACCTAATGAAGCTGTTCCCCTCCCCCTATACAACAAATTTAACACAATTGCCCCAGGTGTGAACAAACCAGTTGAGACAGGTATAGCTGACGTGCAAATACTTCCAAAACCCTGACCACTATCTTTAAAACAACTATTACTACCAATCTTATTACAGGCTAAGGAAAACACTATGTTTCTCCTTTAAGGATTCTATCTTCTTCCTGAAAGGAAGCAAACTTCTCTTGACTATAACATTCAGCTGCACAAGGTAACTGACATACAGTTCTTTCCCTCAAGATGCCTACAATCTTATAAATGCGATTCTGCCCCACATTTAGTGCACAAAGGAAGCTTCTTGTTTTTTAATACTGGACAATCTGAAAAATTATGAGATATGACTTATAATTGCCAGGTCCCGTTCTGCTTAAAGTTTGCTTTCCCTGACAATAACTCTATTACAAATTAGGTAAACAACCTTATCCACATTGTAAGCCATGTTCTCTCTCCAATTTATGCTTTTATATACTGAAATTAACAATCACTTTACATTCCATACTTATAGGTCTCTGTGTGTGTGTGTGTGTGTGTGTGTGTGTGTGTGTATGTGTGTTAAATTCTATTACTTTGTATTGTTTTAAAAGTTAATAATATTTACTGGAAGCATGGTATAAAAGATTCTAGAATAAATTTTCTCTAAATAAATTTGCTTTTATTTTTGTTCAAAGTGGAGGGAAAAAAAAATCAAGCCCCTTAAATTTAATTTTTATTTTAAATGCCAAGAAATAATGTTGGAAACTGACCAAATTCTTCATCTATTATTACCTAATGCAGTTTTATTGCTTATTTTTCAAATAGCTAAGATTTCTTTCAGAAGGAAAACTGCTAAAGTAAATTAAAGAAATATCAGGCCAAAGCATCTTGCTGATCACCACATAAACCTAATTTTAGTGATATGATAATTTTACTCATTTCACTTAGAAAGTTAAAAAAGATTGGGGCTGGCTTTAGCTCAGCGGTTACTTCGACAATGCTTTCTATGGTTAAAAACAACCACTCTGTGTGGTTCGAGACCCGCGGGTGCTCTCCAGCCCTTTTAAGAAAAGAAAGAAAAAAAGATTAGAAAGTTAAAAACGATTAAGAAAAAGGTGAGGAAAATAGTAAATTAGTTATGATGAGAGGTTTGGGGGAAGTAGTTGTAATCTTAAAATGTTAGGATAATGATAAGGCTTCAGTTAAACAGAAGGAATTGGTTCTGATGATCTATTGCATAGTCTGGTGACTACTGTTAATAATAATGTATATTTCAAAATAGCTAAAAGAGGACTTCAAATGTTCTTAGCACAAAGAAATGATAACTATTAAGGTGAAGGATATTAGCCTTACTTGATCATTCCACACCATACTCATTTATCACAGCATCACCCCCCACCAATATATATAATTATTTGTCAGTTTAAAACAAAATAAAACTAGAAAAATAGGTTAATGAACACTGTATTCATAAAATTATTCCTGGATCCACAGCAACCTTAAACATTGCATATGGAGAAAGAAGTTAAACTGGTATCCTGACTGTAGCTTTAATACAGCCTTTCTCAACTTGCCCAAAAATATTTTTTTTAGAAAAAAGGGAAATAAAACATCACACCATCACCAAAATGCGTTACTGACAGAATCCAGAAACTATTTCTGCCACCAAAGAAGGAAGAAACACTATTTTGTTCGATATTTTATATATAACCAGTACCTAGAAAAGTGCCTGGGGCATAGTAAGAACTTAATAAATACCGATTGAAAGAATGAATGAATAAATTAAGGTACTGCAAGTCAATGGAACAGAAAAGAAAAATACCAACCAGTTACCTTGAGAGGGAGCAAGCCACATGTAAGTGGCCTTTCTTCTGATTAATAAACATACTAACAAGAAAGCCATGTACTAAGAGAAAACCATGCAGCTGTTTATTGTATGAGGGCTGGGTTTTTTGTTGTTGTTTTTTCTTTAGACAAGAGTTTCGCTCTGTCCCCAGCCTGGAGGGCAACGGTGCAATCTTGGCTCACTGCAACTCACCCCTCCCAGGTTCAAACAACTCTCCTGTTCCAGCCTCCTGAGTAGCTGGGATTACAGATGCATGCCGCCACGCCAGGCTGATTTTTTGTATTTTAGCAGAGATGGGATTTCACCATGTTGGACAGGATGGCCTCGAACTCCTGAGCTTAGGCAATCCACCCGCCTCAACCTTCCAAAGTGCTAGGAATACAGGCGTGAGCCACCATGCCCAGCCATGAGTGCTGCCCCTTTCACTACTGTTGGCAAGAATTAGAGAAGGCTGGTAGTGGTGAAATGCAGCCAGATAGAGATAGAAAGAAATCCATATAATACAATATCAATGGAACAGATACTAAAGACTTCGGCTAGCAGTGAATATCTAAGGCTGTTGTTTTCCTACATGCTCACTGGTTCAGAATAGCAGAAACCAGGCAACAGAAGAAAACCCCATTAAAGACTCTGGAAACGGAGCTCAGAGAGTTATGTAAGAACATGAACAGCTGATATGGGGAGAGGAGGGGATAGGGCAGTGCTGGGTAGAGAAGGGTGTGGCCCCTGGCTAGGGCACCACCCCCAGCCCTACGCCCACGAACCTAGTTGAAGACAGGTATTTTTGTTTCCCTGCCCAAATGTTGCGTTTTCCAACACTACCCTGGCCTGCCACTCCCCCATCCTGTGCCTATTAAAACTCCAAGACCCTAGCAGGCAGAGACACAAGTGGCTGGACGTTGAGAAGAACACATCAGCAGAAGAAGACACAGGTGGCTAGATGTGGAGAGGAGGACAACAGCAGAGGAACACACAGGTGGCTGAAGGGACACACAGGAGCAAATCAGCACACAAGTAGGCCATCAACCAACTGAATGATGTGAACTTTGGCCAGGGCAGTCAGAGGAGGGCAGCCTGATTCCAGGAGAAAACCATCTCCCTTCTGGCTCCCCCATCTGGTGAGAGCTACTTCCACTCAGTAAAACCTTGCACTCATTCTCCAACGCCATGTGTGGTCTGATTTTTTCAGTACACCAAGGCAAGAACCCCAGGATACAGAAAGCCTTCTGTCCTTTGCGATAAGGCAGGGGGTCTAATTGAGCTATCTAACACAAGCCACCTGTGGACAGTTAACTAAAAGAGCACTCTGTAACACATACCCACTGTGGATTGAGCTGTAAACATTCACCCCTAGACACTGCTATTATAGGGTTGGAGCCCCAAAACCTGCCCATCTGTATGCTCCCCTAGAGGTCTGAGCAGTGGGGCACTGAAGAAGCAAGCCACTCCTCCATCACACACCCTGCAAGGGGGGCAAGGGAACTTTTCTCGTTTCACAGCTACAGGTCAAAGATGACCCAATTAGCTCCTAACATGAGAAAAATGTGGGGCTGTGGACAATCTACACACATTGTCTTTTGGCAAACATTCCTGAGGGATGGTATTATGGTGATTCAAAAAGAAGAAAGTCACCTAAATATAGGAATCATGAAAAAAATTTTAGAAAACTATTTGACATCAGTAAAACATTATCTGTGAAACAAAGCTGGAGGACAGACCAAGATAAAAAGATGAAAAATAACAAAGAATTAAAATCACACTAGGAGAAAAAAGAGTAAAAGCATTATGACAAATTTAATTCCGTGATATACAATATAAACTTCTAGATGTTCCAAACTGTACAGTAAAAATTTAGAGATAAAAACTTTTAGAAATATAATAAAATTAGAGCAGCAGTCCCCAACCTTTTTGGCACAAGGGACCAGTTTGATGGAAGACCATTTTTCGAGTGTTGGGGCAGGGAAGACGGTTTCAAGACGAAACTGTTCCACCTCAAATTATCAGGCATTATAGATGGAGCATGCAACCTAGATCCCTCACATGGGTTTTCACAATAGGGTTTGTGCTCCTATGAGAATCTAATGCCACCACTGATCTGACAGGAGATGGAGCTCAGAAAGTAATGCTCTCTTGCCTGCCACTCACCTCCTGCTGTGCGGCCTAGATTCTATGGTCATGAATTTATATGGGGACACCTGAATTATGGGACAGACAAAAGAGCTCAAAGCTAAACAGGATAAGGATAAAAGGATAAAATAAATAGAAACAATTAAGCAAATACAAAGCTAAAGAAATTTTTCTTGAATTTAAAAAAAAAGTTCACCTTTGGGACCACCATATGTAAGGCAATAATCAATGAATAAAGAACTGTATCTTGAAAAATCTTAGCTAAATCTCAATAACATAAAGTAAAACATATAAAACCATATGATAGGGAAAACAGTCTGACGGGGAAAAAAAAATGTGACACAGGTTGACTTTGGATTTATTTGCAACATTAAATGGCAGAATATAATGAAGCAAAGTTTCAAAGTTTTAAGAAACTAAAAGTAAAGAATTTTACACTTAATTTTTAAAAAACATCCAAAGGCCCACAAATACATTACTATAAACACACAAGGGCTCAG